GATCAAATTTAGGAGAGTGTACAATTTTAAATGAGACTTTGGAGAGTCAAACAAGAAAGGTGAAGAACTGGGCTGAATTGTGGAATGTTGTGCACTCCTGTGATTCCTAAAATGGGGTGTGCTGAAGACACAATGATGTTTGACCACAAGAGTTCAAAAAGGCTGAAACTGTGGACAGTACCTCCTGCCCCCGCCCTCCCCCCTGGTGTGAAACATCAGGACCCCCTCCCCATATTATAATAAGCTCTGATATTAGAAAAATGAAACCCATATGCAAATGAAGTAAATGGTAATTAGATAAGGAGCCATGAGCAGTGAGGTCAGTCCTGGGTGGACTGGGGAGGGGTTGGGTCAGAAAGAAGGCAGCAATTCAGAACATTAAATTATGAGAGAAAGGGTTACTTCCTGAGGCCTGTGCCTCAAGATGGCTTCCGGTTAAAGCTTTAAGTCAGTCTGTTTTCCAGCTAACTGTGGTCGTCCCATCAGTAGAATGGCTAGTCACGTGTGCCACATCTGTGCTGCCTGCCCTGGTTTGACCCTCTAGCTCCCGCTGCCAAGTGAAACTCCTGTCATGGCCCCAGAAGCCAGTGGGGAAGGTGGCTCCTCCCCGCTGTGGCTCTCCCTGCACAGGGTGCAAGCTATCCCAGGACAAGTCGGGTCAGCACAAAGCCAACAGGGGCTGCAGCCAGTTCCCCAAACTGATGAAAAAGTCTAAGGGTTTGGTGTCTGAAAATACAAAAACAAAATCCTTGGTGAGCCGTATCAATAAAAACAGAAGAAAGGAGAAACGTACACAATTAGAAATGGAAAACTGAGAAGTAGCCACCAATACAGAGGAAATTAAGAAATCCTAAGTGCCCGTATTGTAAAAACTGTGCAAATATGTTTAAAAAAATGGATTGTCATTAATTTTCTTAAAAATATGTAACTAAAGTTTACTCCAGAAGTGCTCGAGGGCCTAACCTTCCCAATGGGAGGATTTCAGAAACATACCAGTGGATGCCCAGGCAGCCCCCAGGTGAGTTCTTTTACACTTAAGAAGATGATTCTAAAACCACGTAACCGGTTGCAGAATATAGAGATTTTTGTTTAGCACACAAAAGCAAGCGGCAGGATGATTAATCTCAATTATCAATATTAATAGGGGAAATCACAAGTAGGGATCATCTCAGGACCCTAACAGTGGTTTGGTCTTAAGGAATCTATTAATATAATACAACATACTACTAGAGCAAAGGGGAAAACCTTCTGATCATCTCCATGGATACTGAGAGGCTGTGACAATAATCTAACATCTACATTTTCCCCAGAAAGCCTTAATAGTTGCACAATACATGGATACTTTTTTATTATGACAAGGAAAATACATGTCTTAATACAAGTTGAATAGTGAGACATTGAACCATTCCATTAATGTCAGGAACAAGATAGGTATGCCACCTGAATCACTATTATTTGATACTGTTCTCAAGTGCAATTGCCTAAGGGATAGAAATAAGGGAAATTATTGGAAAGGAGAAGGCAAAAGAAAATCTTAGAAACAATAAGAAAATACAATTAAAGTGGTTGATTGTGACATTAATACACAAAATCAACTACATTCCTATACATCCAGTTAGCAAATAAAATGGAAGAAATATTCCATTGAAAATGGTAGCCAAATGGTAAACTATCTAGAACTAGACAAGAAATTCATAGGACCTATCTGAACAAAACCATAAAAATCTACCAAGCAGCGTAAGATAAGATTTGAACACAAGCCTAGACTGCAGCGCTCTTGAATAGGAAGACTCATATAAATTCACTCTGACTTCAATGAAGGAGACAAACCATGAGACTCTTAACTATAGGAAACAAACTGAGGGTTGCTGGAGGGGAAGTGGGTGGGAGATGGAGTTACTGGGTGATGGGCATTAGGGGGGGCACGTGATGTGATGAGCACTGGGTGCTATATGCAACTGATGAATCACTGAACTCTACATCTGAAACTAATGATGTACTATATGTTGGCTAATTGAATTTAAATTAAAAATGTATGTATGGGAGAGGGAAATAGAGAAGAGAGAGGAAGGGGGGGAAGGGAGAGGCAAAAAAGTGTTAAGGGGATGGTTAACTTGAAAATATTAATATATGAATATTTGATATTAACATGAAGAAAGCTTCCAGAAATGAAAGGCATTCACAGAGAGACAAACCAATAAGTATAAATAGCCCCAAAACACTTAACAGGAATTTAGTTTACAAACAGGGAGGCATTCTGAACAAAATGGGGAAAAGACTAACTGTATTACAGGGATACACTATTATATATTTTGTTGGCACAACTGACCATTTGGAGAGAAAAAAATTTCATTTTTACCTTCATTTCCTGCAGTAAATGAATTCCAGGGAGTTAGAAGATGTAAGCAAATGAAACCATAAAAATTTAGAAAAAAATATGAGTAAATTTATTTATAATCTCAGAATGGGGAAAGGCCTTTTAGAACTGGAAACAAATCCCAGGATCTACCAAGGCAGATATGGATAAATTGACAACATAAAACTTTAACCCTTCTATATGCTAAGAAATAAATCAATAAATAACATCAAAAGACAATAAACAAAAATATTTTCTAAACAAATAAGAATATTTTCAAGATATAAGACAGGGAAGTTCCAAAGTACACAGGCTAAAATTAATTAAGAAAAAGCCAAATAACCCAAAATTATGTAAAGGACATAAATTTACAAAAATTGAAATTTCTAAAAAATATCTGAAAAATACTTAACTTCATTCATAATAAAATGAACTAAATCAGAATAACATCGCAATATAATTTTTACCAGATTGGAAAAAAATATATATTAAGTTTAATAATACCCAGTACTGAGAAAGTTGAGAAACCTGCCTTTTCTTTATATTCTTGGTAGGTATATCTGTTGATCGGTGTTTGGAGGGTAATCTGGCAATATCTACCAAAATGTTAAATGCACATGGCCTTAAATCCAGCAATTCCCCTTTCCCACTTAGAATTTATACCAAGATATGGTCAAAAATGTATCCTAAACTATAAATCAAGGTTGCTAACTACAGATTTGTGTATAAAAATAAAAACTGGAAATACTCTATATGTTCACTAATAGATTAACCAAAGAAATTATATCCACCAAGACAATGGAATGCTAAGCAGCTATTAAGAAGAATGAGGTAGATCTTTATATGTTGTTATGGAAAGATGAAACACTAATCGCAGAAACCAAAGTGCAGAGTGCTGTGCATATCATGAGTGGTAGCAAAGGAGTCTCTCTCCATGCCCCCTTCCTCCCCCTCCTGGCCTCCCTCCCTTTCATTTTCTTCCTTTCTGGAAATGTCCCCCAGCCCTCAGAAGCTCATTCACCAGTGGTCCCTGTAGTTACCCATGCCTTTCTTACTACATGTGCATCTTTTCCTTATTATTACTTTTTAAAATGGCAGAGTATTAGTCGAATGGTCAACATATAAACTACTTTTGTTTGCTTTTTTATGTTTTTCTGTATAAAATACAAAATCAAAAAAGTTTTTTTTTTCTAAGCAAAAGTGTTATGGGGTTAATTTTCAGGTAGCAATAAGAAATGAAGCATTCTCTGATATATCAAAACACTTCTACTTGTGTCTACAATAGAAAAAAAAGAGAAAGAAAGAAAAGATTGTGCATTGTTCATCCATCCCATGTAGAATGGCTGAACTCTGAGGACAACCTTGCTCCAAATGGCATGATATTAGCTAGAATGCGCTTACTTATCAACTTCTTGTCCTAAACAAGGTGTCCCCCTGCAGCTGCACACTCAGCGCTCACACACCCCCACACATGGAGCATGCACAAGCCTCCATTCTCCTCAGTGCAAACAAATCCATGTGCATTACCCAGAAATGAGTGAAATAAATGGCCAGAGAAAGGTATGCAATTTCTTTTGCTCTGAAAATCTAATCTTCTCCCCATAATATATCCATCTCAGGGGTTAGAAGCAAATTAAAGATCCCCAGGAGCTCAAAGCCTTCTGCAGTTTTGAGCTCGGATCTGTTACTAGACGAAACAACAGAACAGGAGAGATTTTGTTGTCTCCCTCTGATCACATTAAAAAAAGAAGAACAGGAACAGGTAGGGTGACCATTGTCAGCTAGATAATGTAAGTGGAGAACTGTGTCATCACACAGGTTTAAAATGAAAGTTTCCCTTCCTTTCAAAATGCTTATCTCCAGGGAATCTCCCTGTTCGAGCCACCTTATTGGGCTAACGTTGGGATCATTGAGCTGTGGGAAAGCAGATCCCTAAAAGCCAGAGACTGGAGTTACTGGGTGCGTAGCCACCCTCAGCCCGTCAGCCCCTCCTGCTGACTTCCACTGGCCTTGCGTCCAGGAAAGCCACTGGCCACATCATCCCCTTTCCTGCCATACAAGGAACCAGAAGAGGTCCCAGATCCTGCTCTTTGGCCTTAAGACATAAGGAAAAGCCTAGCATACTTTCACTTTATGTTGTGCATTTGTACGGACCCACAAGTTTCTAAGACTAATCAACTCTAGTACACGAGAAACATTTAATGCATTATTAAACACACACACACACACACACACACAGCTGGCTTAATTTAACTTTAGCTATTACATTGGGCTGGTAATTCTAATAGAACTCTATTTGTCCTTTGGGTTTTTCAGAATAGAGCAAACTCCACTCCCCAATGTCTGAGGGCAGCACAGGAAGTTTGGGAGTCACCTTGTATCTACAGAAATCCCCCTAACTTGTGCGGGTCTGGTCCTAGTTCAGAATCAACACACATCCGTGTACCTCCTGATTCCCACCACAGGGTAGGTTGGCAGAAATCAAGCTGGTAAAAGCATAATTTACAAGACCAACTATGTCTCGCTCTCTGTTATAAAATGTAGGAACAGTGTAAAATTGTTTCTCTCTACCATCTTTGGCAGAGAAAAATAAAACCTGAATCACGGAAAAACCAGCAGTTAGGTTTTTAGTTTTAGTTGTGTGTCCTTTTACCAATTATTTGAATGGATCTAGTGAGTGTGGTTTATTACTATTATTATTACTTTCAATCTAGGTTTGTAGACAGGCAAAAGCTTATGTTGAAGTTTCACTAGGTCTTCTTGGCAAGTGACATGCACGCATGCAAAACCAACTGTACAGGCCTCCCCTGGCGGTCCTGAGCCACCCTCACCTCTCTGAAGGGCTCACCAGGCATTGGGAAATGGGCAAAATGACCTCTCAGTGGTCCTGGTGACCCTAAGGATGTTCCAAGAATATCAAGCAGCCCCTCTGAGAGGATTAAACAAAACCGTGCTGAGATCCTATTACGGAAAGTAACAAGGAAACTATAATGGACATGACTGGCGCTCAGCGAGCGCTACGGGTACATCAGAGTCCTCACGTCGAGTATGGCTGTGGGATTAGCACCCCAAGTTCTCCCCAAGCCAACGGCATCGCTCGTCTGTGCGTTTCCTACATGCTGGGAACCAGGACCAGGTTAAGCGAAGTCTTTGGACACAGCCTCAACGAAGTTTGGAGCTGACATCAGGATGCCGATAGTGCAGATGATGGTGAAGACGGAGAAGGCCATGAGACACAGGCGGTCCACCACGCAGGCCGCAAATTTCCACTCACTGCAGATGGCCTCGCTCTCGTCCTGACAGCGGAAGCGGTTGGCGATGTAGCGGACCTCCTCCAGGATCTTGGCCAGATCCGGGTCCCCCTCGGAGGGCTGCCCGCCGTGCAGGAGGTGCTCGTCGTGCGTGGGGGAGCAGGCCATGCGGCCGCACACGACACCCGAGTCGGGGGTGGGGGCGCAGTGCACAGCGTCCAGGCCGCGGAAGCCGATGTAGAGCAGGTTGCCATTGGTGGTGGGCGGTGCCGCCACTGCGCTCATGTCCACACTGGCCAGGCTGCAGCGGCGCGGCTTGTGCTGGCACGCCGGCCTCACCTTGTCCTCCCCCGGCCTCTTCATGCGCAGGAACCACGCGCACCAGTTCAGAAGGATGACTCTGGTCTGGGGAGACATCAGGGCAGTTAGGAGTGGGCGGAAGCGAATATCAGCGGGTCCCGATCCCAGCCCTACTTGGGGGACCCTGGGGGAGACAGGCCCCCACTCCTTCCCAGGTGAGTTTACACAGGCAGGCACGCGTTGCAGTGGCTAAGGCAAATGTGAGACCAGAATAAACCAATGCAGAAAGTCACCCTGGGAATAAGCGGAATTCTGTGGCAGACACACTGCCGTCTCGGGGCAGACAGGCACGTGGGAGGAGAGCCCGTCTCGGAAAGAGCCCTGCCTGAGCTGCGTGAACAAGAGAAGTCACTTTCCCTCTCCAGTCTTTCCTCATCTGTCACTAGCGACCATCATACTCAACTGCCCATGAGACACCCCAGTGCCATGGTGGACTTGCAAGGGCACACCCCTGGAGATTTTTTAAATTTTCAAGGACAGCCCTGTGACACCTATCAGATGCTGCATGAACCCCTAGTCTGAAGCAGTTCCGACTAGAACATTGGGTTCCTTGCAATGATGGCATATCATTGCAAAGCAGGTTTCTGTTGTCCTGACGAAAAGCAAGTGCCAAGACAGTCAAAGTGGAACAGAAAATGGGGGCACTATGCTCCTAAGATTTGAAAGGGTGTGCTGCCAACAGGTGCCTAGGGGTCAGGGCATAAATACTTAAGTTGTTTTGACCGATGTAATAAAGAGCCATTAGGTATTTCTTTTGCCCTAGGGGCTGTGAAAAAAATCCCTGAGACACTAAAGGTGCTGTGAACCAGGGAAGTTTAGGAACTGCTAACCTAATTCATTAGGCTGAAGTGAAAACTGAGTACGATGATGTGCAGGAAAGTACTTGGACTTTGTTTAAAGGGCCACATAATAAAGTCCATAAGGTCTCTGTTGCAGCTATTTGGCTGTGTTAATAAAGTACAAAATAGTCATAGAAAGCATGTAAAGAAATAAGCGTGGCTTTTTTCTAAAAACATTTTATTTGCAAAAGCAGCTGGTAGGCCAGATTTGACTACTGGAGCCATAGTTTGCTGACCTCTGGTTTAAAGTGTTTTATCAACATATATTGCCTACATGCATAGACGATGCTGGAGAGAAATCATGGAGATTTCTTGTTTTTCCCTCTAATGAAAAGAAGGAGCCATGTGAAACCTCAGTCCAGGTTAGAAAAATTCTTGGAGGCCTATTTAGACAAGTATATGAAAAGTGGGCCCTTTCCCTGAGATTATCCAGATACTGATTTTAATTTTGGTTTATGACTGTGGGTGAATTCCATCAGCAACATAACAGGTTATGTTTCCCATCTGTAAGTACAGGCAGTAAGTTCTGAAGTTCATGTCTGTAGTACTTTTTATGGCATCTTATCAGAGATAACTGCAGTAGACCAATTTGGAGACAGGCAATGAAAAGAACAAGAAGGCATAAGAGCAGATTCACTGCAGATGTAAAGAAAAATCTTTGCTCAGAGCAGACAGCACTCTATATATCCTGCCCATACCCTATGGACAAACCTGCAGAGCCTGGAAAAGCCTGTCTGCATACGCTGGAGGGTTTTCCGTGATTAGTAGAGAGCAGGGACACATGGCCCCACGTGAATCTGTAGGTCAGTCTGGCCCTCCACAGAAGGCTCATAAGACATGCCAGCTCAATTGGGCCTCTCAGGGGCTCTGTGAAGTGAGTATAATCCCCCCCCACTCATTTTACAGATAAAGAAACTGAGGCTTCAAGGAGGCTAATAAATTGGCTCAAGGTCACACAGTAAAGCAAGTCACCTATGTGTTTAGGCTTCCACAGCTCATCTGTAAAAGGGTCTACAAAGTCTTCTTCAAAACTCCTGTGACTTTAGCCCAACCCCCACTTCGAAGGCACTGGAAAGACTGGACCAGAGCTCAAGGGAATGCACTGGGCAATGAGTGCTTCCAAACCCAGCGACAGCTGTACACATGGAGTGTGTGTGTGTGTGTGTTGTGTGTGTGTGTTGGGCAGGGGGCGGGCTGTGCCTACCCCGGAGCACATCTCAAGCTAATGTGACCCACACTCCCAAGTCTGTTTTGAATTCCAAGGCCTGAATCATTCGCTTTCGAAGCTAAAGCATCTCAAAAGATGACATTATCCTCTTGGCACTCATCCAACTGTGCTCATGACCTCTTCTGTTAGGTTAGGGTCTTGTGTCTGGCTGCGTAAATGTCACATAATGCCAGGGCACCGGCAGTATCTTCTTCACAGCAACACATCATAATAAAAGTTCCTTGGAGGCTATTTTTTAAATACACACAGAAAGAAAGAAAAATGCAGGAGGCTATATAAATTGAAAGCAAAAGATATAAGCTTCCTATTTCATTTGCAGCCATAGGTTTTAACATACTCCTGTGCTGAGAGGTGAATAATTAACATAGGCTCGTAATTAAGATTTTTTTCTGGACAGTAAAGTACTACAGGGTCATTAAAAATGGTTTTGTGTCTTCACGTCTTAAGCAGAAGAAATAATAATATGCGTTTTGAGTCTTACATTTGCATAAATAAACACTTGAAGGATAATGGAGAAATTGCTTAAAATGGCTATCAATATTGGTGGTGGAAGCACAGTGAGGGGCAGGAACGAGAGCAGGATTTCCTACGGTAGGATTTTACTTTGATTTTGACATTTGGAACATGTGAATGTATTACCTATTTCAAATGAAAGGAGGGTAGCCAGAGAGTGTATCAGGGTTCTAAAAGTCAGATGGCAATGTAGGTGACTGTGTGCAAATGTGTCCAGTTTTTAATGAGGGGACCTTCTCAAAACAAGCCCAGGGACCACAGTGATGTGAATGTATGGGGGACAGCACCACTGCTGGGAGCTCACTCCATTGCTATGAGAGAAAGTCATTATTAGTGTACAGATTTGCAGTGGAAAAGAACCCAAGAGGACACAGTAACTTGGTAAAGTCAATTTTTTTTTTAAATTGGTCTTTCCTAAGTTCACTTTTGGGTAACTGTAAATTATTGCACAATGAATATCTTTAGAAGGCCTGGGAACTCTCTCTTCCCGGAGGTTAACAAAAAGCACCCTACTTCTTGCACCTGCATTTAGCATGTTGGGAAGTCTTAGACTCCCTTCTGAACTTGGATGCAGAGTTAGAGGTCTCCAAAGAAAACAGGCTTGTTTTGACAGGAGAGGGTTGCTTTAGTACCTGCCGTCCCTAGGCCATGCTCTTGGGACAAGAACACTGGAAGGTTTGCAGGGCCCGAGGAAGACTCAATCCCTCCCCTGGCCTTGGATGTTGTCACACTGTTCTCACACAGGTGAGAAAAAATTTGGCCCTCATCAAGGTTTCCTGAGTGTTAGGTGAGGCTGGGCACACAGCTTCAGATCCTGGACTCTGAAGGGCACAGCATGGGTAAGCATCTGCCCACGTCCCAGTGCATGGGGCTAAGCAGGTGCTGGGAAGGGGTGGCGTGCCCCGTGGCTGACACAACAGGCTGTTATATTGTGTATCTTTCATTCTTTTGCTTTGATCCCAGCCCCCTTCCCCACTGCTAACTACTGACCTGTATTTTAGAGGCCTGTGGTAAGATTACATTCCTACAAGTATTACCTACACGAATTATTACATGGCTCACTCTCTCTCACCATTTTGGCTCCTCATTCTGTTTGGAAGATCCCAACCACATGGCTGGGTGCTTATCTCGTCCGTTGCTTCCAACCACTGTACTGTTCTCCACAGAGTACGTACAAAAAGCAGTTTTAGAAATACTCTGGTAGCAAAATGTACAGAGCGGTCAGTGTGTGGGCCATGTTCTGGAATGTCAGATTGCAGGAACAGTGCGATGGGCCCCTGCGAGCATGCTCACCGTAGCGGTGCAGAGATAATGCAATAGTGCAGACAGGTGAGGAGGTATGAGAAACATGGCTCTGTGTTGAGGAACACTAGCTGTTTTTAGGACTTTTAACATAGATAATTCATCTGTGGAGTCACCCCTGGCGAAGGCCCCCGACTCCCCATGGTGAAGGGCAGGAGGAACGCACCCACTTGGGCATCTTGCCGCCGTCGGGGTCGTGGTGGTGGTACTGCAGCACAATCACCGTCACGACCACGGAGAGGCCCACGATGATCATGGTGCTGGCAAAGTACTGGGCTGCAGAGACAAGAGACGCAGGGTGAGCCCCGGGCCCTCCACGGCACAAGCATCACAGCGTGGAAGGCAGACCCAGACGGCGCTCTCTGATCGCCTGCAAGCAGGTGGCGAAGCCTAGAGCAGGGCACGGTTGTCTCCAGGCCGGCAGACCCGCACCGCCCCCACCCCCTCCAGCCCACATTCCCGGCAGGCAGAGGTCAGTGCAGAGCATGGACACCTGCTTTCCCATCCACACAAGCTGCCTGGCCAGGCTGCCTGCACTCCTATGAACTCCATCGGCCTCTTCTTCCAGTGAGGGTTAACAGTGCCTCACAGGATGCTGATTCAGTTGTTCTCAGGAGAAAGGCTGTGGACTGTTTTGGGAACTGAGAACGCTGGGGTAGTGAGGGTCTGGCCCCCACCATGATAACTGCAGGCCAGGGACATGCTGGGGTGGGCAAATCTGGGCATCACTGGTGGGGTAACTAGTATTAGTGTGTTAGATGAGTCTGCTTCCATCTAATGAGAGATAGAAGGAGGTGCCAGTTGTCTGAGGAAGACGGGAAAGACATTGACTTTCCCAGCTAAGAAGATCAGCTTCAGCTCCGATGGGCAAGGATGCATTTCTCCACCTTGGCCCAGGTGAGAAGAAGCATGGAGCATCCGAAACAGCTCTCCCCTAACCCACTGCCCCTGTCCATGAGTTCAGACATCTATGAGTTTAGATAGGCTACTCAGCCCGCCTGGGCCTCAGGTTCTTCACAAGTATAACAGGGATGGCAATGCCTTCTTTTGCAGGGTTGGTGCAGGAATTAGCAAGTATATGAGCCAAGAATCTAGAAGAAAGACTGGCAAAGAGAAGACATTCCTTGATTGGCAACTCCAGTTATTAAACCTTTGGTGTGGCTTTCAGCTCAAGGGGGCTGATCTCTAAGCAGAGAACATCCTGGTGCAGAGGCTAAGTGCATGACCACACATCTGGTTAAGAACACCTCCTTCTCTCCAGGCAGGAAGGAACTCACTGCCCCACTGTGAGAAGCTTCCAGAGATGGACGTTTGAGACTTCAAGTTAGCACCAGGGACCTCTAAGAAAGGGAAGGAAGGTGAACAAAACTGTGACTGCTATGGGCTGAGTTGTGGCCTCCTAAAATTTAGATGTTGAAGCTCTAGCCCCTGGTATCTCAGAATAGGACTGTATTTGAAGACAGGGCCTTTAAAGAGGGGATTAAGTTAAAATGGGGTCCTTAGAGTGGGACATGCCCCAATCCGACTGGTGTCCTTATAAGAGGGGAACTTTGCACACACAAGGGGGTACCTGGGATGCACCCAGACAGGAAAGACCATGTGAGAGCACAGCCAGAGGGTGGTCATCCACAAGGCAAACAGAGAGGCCTCAGTAGATATCAAACCTGCTGGCACCTTGGTCTTGACTTCCAACCTCCAGAACTCTAAGCAAATACTTTTCTGTTCTGTAGGCACCTGGTCTGTGGAATTTTACTGTAGCAGCCCTAGCCGACCAAGACAATGACCTGTGGAGGTATCCAGGGTCAGAGGATCCCACAGCTGAAATCTCAACAACAGAGGTCAGAGGCCAATAGCACCCCATCTTTCTAGACATGGGCTATGCATCAACCATGCCTTTTCCCCACTGGTCCATCAGTCAAGGCAGGGCTGCCCATTGCCCCACAGAGGGTGCTTCCTGTTGCAAGTCTCTACTGAAAGCATTGTGCTGGAAGGTAGGAAGAGTGGGTCAGACCGTCAAGGCGAAACATGGTTCCTTGCCCTCTGGATGGTAGTGAGAGAACTAGGAACACCCACAAAGGCTTTTCATACCAATACTGTTTTTCTGGCCAAAATATTACACATTAAGGAACAAAGAAGAGCTTTGGGAGTATCTGTGTAAGAGAAATAGGCTCCCCTACTCCTATCCTCCCTTGTTAACTACACAGGGTGGCCCTCCAGTGGCCTGGGCCAACAGGAATAATCATAGACTCCATTCCTCTTTCTGAACTCCATCACCAAACCGGAGGAGTGATTCTCATATTAAACCAAATACCCACTATCAGACTGTTTGCTTTCCATTCCCAAAACTGGCCTGGGGGTCTGGTTCCCTGACCAGTAACAGAGCCCTGGCTGTGGTGGCGAGAGTACCAGATCCTGACCGCTAGACCACCGAGCACCCCTGTGCACATTCCTGCTTATTCCAATCCAGGGAGGCACACAGGCACAAGGGATGTTCTCTCCTGTTTCTGTCATCCTGCCTTGGGCAGAAGGTCATGCCTTATATCTGTCTTGGCTAAAACATATTTGTCCTGTTTACATTTCCTCACAAGCTTTAATTTTATCCAGAGACATCGAGGTATCTCGGGAAACAATGGCCAAGAGTTAAAATGTGAGCTCCTCCCATTTTGACAAAAGATTTGTGGAAGAACAATGACTCAAAGCTAAAGTAACAAATCTCTGATGGTACAATCTCTGGCTGCGTAACAAGTGTGAGGGGGAGAACAGTGGGAGGAAGGGTGCGTTTCTGCAACTTCAAGCCAAACCACAAAGCTCGACTCCCCACACTCCCCCTACATGTGCCCAGATGAGCAGAGGCCATGGGCCACTCAACAGGTACAGAAAGTCACTCCTCCTGGGGCCATGTGGCTCTCCAGGGCCCTCTCTAAGCCCGTGTCTTCAAGAGAGGCCTGACACTTGCTTACCTATCAAGGGCACCGAGTCGGATGTCGCAGGCATGATCTCAGCCACCAGCAACATGAAGACAGTAAGAGAGAGTAAAACCGTTATCCCTGAAACATAAACACAGCAGTGCCTGAGACAGAAGAGGCGATAAGGCCTCAGGTCCATTAACTGTGCCTTATCGGAGATTCAAAGAGCTCGGGAGGTGCAGGGGAGGGGGCAGTGACATCCTGAAACCCAGTGCAGGGTTCTCTGTATGTAGGGGCATGGCCATTTTTCTGGGGGCTGTTCACAGCATTTACCAGAGTCCCAGATGGAGGTAAGCTTAGGAGCCAGAACTGTAGAACAACAATACAAAATGAATTACTGAACCTAACACAAGTATCTCTCATCTTCTTAATTACATTAGGATTGAGAGGTAGTTACATATAGCAGGGGAAAAAAACATGCAATCTTAAGACCTGACTTTTGGTCTTGACTTTGCTACTTACTACCTGTGTGACCGTGGATAAGTCACTTAACGTGCCTAAGCCTTGCTGTCAGAAGATAGAGGTGTAAGGACGATTTCTACATGTACTAAATATGACCTTCAATAACTCTTTAAGATGTTGAGAAATTCACTTCACCATTCTAAGTCTTATCCTTATCTTCCTATTGGATGATCATAAGGAATTACCCTGTGTACGGCAATATACAGAAGCAAACTGATACTAAACTAACTAAACTGTTTCCTGTCCATAACAAATGCTGGCCAGTTGCCCCCAAGGAACAGGATGGGGTGGCAGGAGAAGAGAAAGTAAGGCCCCTCAGGACAGAACCCCATGGTCTCTTCCTGGGCATTCCTATCTTCTGTGGAGGAGCAGAGGATATTACAGATTTTCAGGAGGGCATTGGGCACCTAGCATGAAGCCTAAATCAGGAGCCTGTGGTGTTGGGGAGATGCCCTGGGCTGGGAGGTCAGTGTGTGATGCACCAAGCAGGCTCTGCAACATCTCTGCACCCAGAGCCATGACATGTCCTGCACCGTCCACAGGGATCCTTACAGAGCTGACCTCAAGGCAAGGCCCTCCCATCCTGTCTCAGACTCCTGCCCAAGATCAGGACACTTACCCAGGGAAATTTTCTCCCCTGAATCTGCAGGGAGCAAGAAGACAAGGAGGGCCAGCGCAGAGATGAGCACACAGGGGATGAGCAGATTGAGGCCATAGTAGAGGGTCCTGCGGCGAATGGTCACTGTGAAGGTGACGTCTGGGTAGGGCTCTTTGCAGCACTCATAGAACTTCTCACTCCGCTTGCCTGGGATTCCTCCATGAGCAACAGGGGAAAGGAACAGTGTCTGAATAAAATTACCCTGCTTGTTTATTTTAATGAGTATATAATAGAAATAACCATGGAGTTTGCTAAGTGCTAAAAAAACAAACAAACAAACAAAACCTGGGTCATCAGTGTTTGAATAAACTCTGGTATGTTAGAGTTGTGCAGGAATATCTTGGTGATAATGGAACAAACTGGGAGAATTTTTTTAATGGATTGAAACTAGATGTGTATATGGTAAATGTTTGTGTCCCTCTCAATATTCCTATGTTGAAACGCTAACGCCCACAGTGATGACATTTGGAGATGGGACCTTTGAGATGGGATTATTGCCCTTACAAAAGAGGCCCAGAGAACTCCTTAGTCTCTGCTATGTAAGAAAACAGCCAGCTATGAACCAGGAAGCAGGCCCTCAGGAGACACTGGATCTGCCTTGATCGTGGACTTGATCTTGGACTTCCCAGCCTCCAGAACTGTGATAAATAAACTTCCGCTGTTTAGAAGCGACCCAGTCTATGGCATTCTGTTTTAGCAGCCTGAAGGGACTAAGACACCATGATTATAAATAATACATTATGAGCTTTACAACATTATAAATGTAATTATTGTTTTTCTATTTAAAATCATCAAATATAGGTTCTCATGAACTGCAATTTGCTATCCAACCTGATTTTAGGAATGGAGCAGATTCGAATAATATAGGGATGCCTATACTATAGCACTGACTTGTTTAAATAGCTGCACGTTTTCTTGGAAAGTATTGGATTTTCTAATTGTTTTCTATTTCTTACTGTATAGCTCTCAGTAAATTATAGAGATTGCTGCAGGGTTCAATAAATGCTCACACTGAAAAGCAGAGTGGCAAGTCCCAAACTTTCAAAGCCAGCACAGGAATAAAAAGTGGCTTTCTACGAGGCTGGTAGCCTCATGTCTTTGCTGGGCTTACCCACAAGGTCCCATTCTCCGTTTGGGATATAGCCGCTGATATCTGCCTCTTGCATCTGTAGATCCAAGGACCACCCTCCGTAAGACCAGGACCCAAACTTCAGTTTGCACTGCTGCACATCAAAGGGGAACCAGCGCACGTCGATGTAGCAGGAGCTCTTGAATATGCCTATATGGGCAAAAAAACAGTCAGAAAACCAAAATGGAAGGGGACCAAGCTGGGCTTTTAATACACAGCAGTCTCACACTGCTGGTGGGAAAGCAAACTGGTGCTGTCATTATGAAAACAGTATGGAGATTCCTAAAAATATTAAAAATAGAACTTTATGATCCAGTGACCCCACTTTTGGGTATATATCCAAAGGAAACAAAATCATTATCTGGAAGAGATATCTGCACCCCCGTATTCATCATGTTCACGGCAGCATTATTTGCAATAGCTGAAGAATGGAAACAAGCTAAGTATCCATCGAAGGATGAAAGAAAAAAGAAAAAGATGATCAAATCATACACACACGCAAACACATACACACACAATGGAATACTATTCAGCCTTAGGAAAGATGGAAATCCTGCCATTTGCAATAACATGGATGAACCTGGAAAGCATTATGCTAACTGAAATAAGCCAGACAAAGAAATACTGTATGATCTCACTTACATGTGGATTTTAAAAAAAAAAAAAAAAAAAAGCTGAACTCATAGGAACAGTGAGTTGCCAGGGGCTGGGGGAGGTGGGGAAATGGACTGTCCAGGGGTACGAACTTTCATTTACAAGGGGAGTAAGTTCAGAGGATCTAATGTACAGCATGGTGACTCTAGTTAATAATACTGTATACTTGAAATTTGCTAAGAGAGTAGATCTTAAACATTCCCACAGAAAGCAAAACAAAACCCAACCATGTAAGGTGATGGATGTGTTAACTTGAGTGTGGAAGTCATTTTACAATGTATGTGTATATTAAGTCATCATGTTATACACCTCATTACATTTTCATTTATCAACCATACTTCAATAAAGATGGAAAAAAATTGAAATAATCATAAGTAAATAAATAAATAAACACAGAGCTATCCCTTGGGTCTCTAACCTCGTATCTGTTCACAATATACAGTGACTCTTCTTCCTGGAAAGGGTTGGTGAGTTAAACGATACATTATTTTTGATGTTCAGCATGTCTTTTTGATCAGTGTCTCATGCACCCATTGTTCTGGCCCACCTGTGTTCCCTTCAAGACGTGGAGACGTACGCTCCTGGGTCTCTAGACTGAGTGCGACCAGAGAGGTCTTCACCCCCTCCTCCTCCTCCAAACTACAGCTAGACCTGTCCAGAATAAGCTTGGTTTTTTTTTTTTGAAAAATCTCTAGAAAGGAAGCTCAGCTGAAGCTCCACCGTCTTTTTAAAATTCACAGACAACACCATCATGCTCTGTTGAAGACTATTCTTAAGGATTTCTGGGCAAAGAATTAGAAGTTCTGTAAACTTGCTCCTACCATGTCTATGCATCTTCAAACTCTAATAGGAGAAAAGTAAAGAATGTACAAAACAATGCCAGAAAAACTGATAAAAATGATGAACGGTTTAGAAGCAGAATATAAAAGGGACGTGTGTGTGTGTGTGTGTGTGTGTGTGTGTCTGGTGAGGAGCAGGGTGGGCATTTCCTTAGGTTAAAAATTGAGAAAAAAAAATACTGGGGCACCTGGGTGGCTCAGTCGTTAAGCGTCTGCCTTCAGCTCAAGTCATGATCCCCAGGGTCCTGGGATCGAGCCCCGCGTCGGGCTCCCTGCTCAGCAGTGAGTTTGCTTCTCCTTCTCCCTCTGCCCCTCCACATCCCCCGCTCAAGCTCTCTATCAAATGAATAAATACAGTCTTTAAAAAAATTGAGAAAAATACTTGGTTATCTAGATATATATGTGGAGGATAATTTTAATTAGTTTAGATTTTAGATTAAGAACAAAGACTGACAGGTTTAAGTTGAAGACAGTGCTTGGGCACAAGTGGGAGTTTCCACTGAAAAGAGTGACTTCCCCCTAAGACAAGTTGGAGGTGAATTTCTGGCAGATTATGGAGAGAAGGCCAGATAAGCCCCCTCCAGCAAGTTATGCCCCTGTGCTCTTCCCTGCTCATAAAAAGGCTTGAAGGCGGTGGAAGGCACAAAGAGCTAAGGGTGCACTCTGTTCCTGGGGACAGGGTCAGAGCTCTATATATTTTTGCTACTAAACTAAAAAAAAAAATGAATGGAGGAAGGGACTCAGCAGCCTTGCAAACACGAACCCTCACCCCATAACCAAGCTGGGAAAGGATAAAAAATGTCCTGTCCTCTCAAGTTCCTTTAAGTACTATGTCCAATGTTCATAAGAATACATGGATGCTGCCCTCCCATTAATGGGAGAGATCTCCCAAAACCCACACTACTTGTGGAAAATGTAACTCTATAATTGAATTATTCCATTTCCATGAAATAGCCAGAGAAAGAAAGTCTCTAGAGATAGAAAGCAGATCAGCGGTGGCCCGGGGCTGGCAGTAAGGGTGGGGATTAACTGCAGAACGGCAAAAGGGATCCTTTCAGGGTGATAAAAAATGTTCTAACCCTAGATTTTGGTAATGGTTGTACAACTGTGAATTTACTAAAAATCACTGAATCGTGTACTTAAAATGGGTGAACTGTATGATATGTAAATTATACAATAAACCTGTTAAAAATAAAAATATGAAATGGAAACATAATTTCATAACCAAGTCTCTACTTCAAATCCTGCACCCAAAACATTTTTTTTTTTTTTGCCTGTACTTGGTTGCTTGAACAGAACAGCTTCCCAGATCAGTTTTCCATGACCCCAGGGCACAGGCTTGCTCCCCCAGGCCAGAAAGCTCCATACGGCTCCTGCCAATGTAGGGGAGACTCCCACACTCACAGCACAACACACCCTGTCCTTCCCAGGCTCCTGGGGCCATGAAGGCCGGGACAAACGCAAGAAGCCCCGGAGGGGGCTGCTACACACAGGCGGCTTGGGGCTCAGGCCGCTTCTTGTAGCTGAAAATAGCCTCAGCCCTCAAAACAATCTGCAGCACCATATTCTTGTATACTGATGACTGCTGGAGATCATTTTCTAAAATAGCCCTCATAATAGAAACTGCAACTCACAGGCTGGGGAAAAAGAATGTATGGGTGTGTGATGGAAGCCTCATCCCATAGCTTCCATCCCCCAGGGGCCTGCTGTTAGGCGGAAAACATGCTTGGGCTGGGGGAGGGGTGAAGGAACCAGGGAAGGAGCAAGGAAGCCCGTGTTTTCAGATGGAAAACCTGAAAATCTGTGGTTCTTCAGTCTATACAAGCATTATTGGGACGTATCTGCCTTTGATGGGTTTAATCACTCACGCGTTCATTTATGAACAGGTGGGCCAGGCACCTGGTTGATTAGTGGTGGTTCTAAGGTGTGTAAACACAGAATCTGCCCACAGGATGCTTATCATCTGCTAATGAGGAAGAATGTGTAAGCAACAACTAAGAAGACAAGGCCAGTTTTGCTGTGTGCTGTGAAATGAAGATGTGAGACTGGGGTTCACTGCAGCAGAAAGGCAGTATGTATGTGTGTGGGGGGAGTATGTGTGGTGTGTAGTATGTGTATGCAGGGGTTGTGCTTGGTGTGTGAATGTGTGCAGAAGGTATGCATGTGGGGTGTATATGTGGTGTGTGTGGAGGATAGCAGGTGTGTGTATATGGTGTGGGGTGTGTGTGTGGTGTGTAGAATATGTATGTGGGGGATGTGGCTGGTGTGTGAATGTGTGTGGATTTGTTGGGGGGAGGTATGGATGTGGGGTGTATATGTTGGGGGTGTGTGTGATGTATAATGTGTGTGTATGGTGTGTAATGTGTGTGGGGGGAGTGGTAGGTATGTGGATATGGTGTGGGGTGTGTGTGTGTTTATGTTGGTGTTGAGGTGGGAGTTGGCTGCAGATTGCCTGGGACCAGGAAGTTAAACAGTTGCAGTGGGGGAGATAATCTTGGAAAAGAACATGTGAAAAAATCATCCTAAAGATTTTTAAAACTCTGTTAATATCTGCCTCAAAGCATTAAAACGCAGGTTCCCTATGCTCTGTATTATTCAGTGAGCAGCCCAGGGCCCAATGAATTCAGAGAAATGAGGGTCTGGTGGGAAAAAAAAATCAATCCCAGGAAGCAGTTAACCATCAGCTGGTTGCAAAAGAGAGAAGCTCAGTCAGGAATAAGGCACTAATGAGCCCCACTTTGAAACCACTTGCTCTTATATTTAACACACAAGTGCTCCTTCATGCACATCCTCAAGAAGCCGGCAAGTCCACCATCTCGCCCCCAGCACCTGGAGAGCAGCCCCTGCCAAGACACGCAGTCTGGCAGGAGAGGACATGGCCAGCTGACATGGAGGAGGGAAAGGCTGGGGGGTTGCCTGCAGGCTGTAAGGAGAACTGGCAGTGACCTGAGGAGGGAGACTTGCTTTAGCTGTGGATTAACTTTAAAGAACACTTGACACACAATAAGGACAATGACACATGAGCCATGACCCCAAGACAAAAAAGAGGAAGATGGTATTGCCATGTTCAGGAAATTTTTGCAAGCACAGAGGGGAAGAAAGCAGGAGGGGTTGGGTGTGAATGAGCCAACGGATGCCCCACACGCGTGCGAGCACCATCGGTCTGGCACCCTGAACTCGCTTAAATTGTCTAACTATAGGACAAAGAAGTGGGTCTTACCTGGAGGCAGGTACTGGCAATGTCCAGAAGAATTAACTAATACGTTGGTGTGGAATGTGGCATCGAATCGCTCATCAGCACTGGAAACATGAGAAGGATTTCATGAGTCAGCACTGCCAGGTGGTAGATTTCCCGGGGCCCTTAGGTCTGTCCTGACTGCGGCTAGAATAGCTTTGAGAAGTGCCACTCTTTGTGCTCGGGTCATGCCGACACCACTTGCAACTGGCCTAGGAGATCTCACCCACCCCCACCATTTCATATGCACTATGATTTTCATATGCCCATAAAACAAAGTTTTCTTAGCAAAAGTTAAACCTGAAGACAATTTCATAGGACATCAGCTGATGAGACATTTCTATCTGTAGGAGATAAAGAGTGGGTAAAGCACTCTGCCACTGATCAGGGATTTTGACCCACTATCTCCAAAGCTCCAGTTCCAGCTTCCTGAATGCACCCAATGCTTGGTTGGTGCTTAACCAATATATCTTGAGCGACTGAACTGCAAGCACAGGAGGTGGCGGGGCACCAGCTGAGCCCAGAGGCATCGTGGGCTCCATGATTAGCGATAACAGGAAGGAGGCAGGTGAAGAGAGCAGAGTTAGGTACAGGTTTTAGACAGGTGCACCCCAGCCCCCTCCCTGCCCAAGTTCAGAACCTCCCACAGCCAGGAGTTACCAACTTGAACAAAGGGGGTGGAAGACACAAAACAGGAAAAAAGAACAACAATTAAAGCCAACAGCCCTTATTATCCATGTCTTTTATCTTCTGTATTCTGATGCTTTGCGGACCCTGGAGGAACTGTGCCCACTCCACTCCCAGGTTAGCCAGTTCCTAGAGACAGGAAACAACATGCTTACCAGTGCATCTCTCAAATGCAAACCATCTAATCCAGAGCCCATACCCCAGCCACCTCCTTTATCAGGGTTTCACACTCCAGCCCTCTATCCCTCTGTCCTAATAACCTGAGGGCCAGGTACCAAGCAACTAGGGACAGCCCCTATGACCCAGAGCCCACTGAAATTCTTCAAACTAACCAATCCTAACCCTGCTCACCCTGCCTTGCCAGTTCCAGTCCACGGAAACCACAACAAAGGCTCTTTCCCATCCAAGAAGACGCTGTCAATGAAAGGACTAAAAAATTGCTCCTTAAAAAAGTAATATCCTCACAGAAATTCAAGAGGACATCGCATCTAGTAATACAAAGAGCAATATGAAAGTTAAAATATGATTTATGAAATAAATTTTTATAAATGGGTGGGAGGTTTGGGGCTGAGAAGAATTAGAGATGAAATGTAGGACAGAGATGAGGAAAGTCCCCAGAGTACAAGACCAGAGGAACTCACTGGACAGAAGCTGAAGAGACAAAAGGGCAGGAGATAATTACCCAAGAAATCACACAGAGACATGCTAGAGCTGAAAGAAACTAGTCAAGCATGAAGGCAAAGTGAGGCACTTTCACAAACGTTAGGGGCTCAGAGGGCTTGTGTCCCACGTATATTTTCTCGGTCATGGATTTGAGGATGAGCTCTAGGAAAATGAGGGTGAATACTGAAAAAAGAAGAAATAAACTCTTGGACTAAACCTGGGGATCAAGAAAATGTATTTTCATGATGAGCTGTGCAGTGGGCCTAGAAAAAGCGGGGGTGGGGGAGTTCCCAAATTACAGCAAGAGATGAGGAGTCTCTGAGGAGAGCGAAGTAGATTCAGAGCAAGAGAGAAGAGAAATAAGCTGGAAAACACCATGCATTCTATCAAGGACGCATTTTTAAAAATTACTGTAATAAGAAAGAAAAATATCAACCAGACACTTCGGGGGGAAGAAAACCTATACAAAAAAGCCAGGGTTTGACTACGAAACAAAAACGTGATGAAGTGCAGAGGAAGAAGGAGGGGAGAGAGACTAAGCCACCAGAAAAGGATAATCCTTTGAGATGACGGACACTCCTACCTCCTTACTTGCAAGCACGCACAGGCAGAGAGAGGAGGAGACAGGGTCAAGATGCAAATATTCTTTGCTTGATTGTGGTCTGTACCCAACTTTCTCCATGAATCACATGATAAACAGTGACTGAGCACAAAACAGCTGAACGTGTGGACCTTCACAAAATCGCTCTAGATCAAACCACAATTTTCAAACCAGGTTCTCTGGAACCCTGAGATTCTCTGGGTGTGCTCTGGGGTTTCTGCACCTGTGGATTCCGATATTCTCTTTTCCTTGTAGTCTAAAAGGCTAATAAAAGTCCAAACACACTCAAATGACTTTTGGAAAATTCTACCCCTTCAGACCAGATGACCGATGGCCCATTTAACTCCTGTGGCCCATTTAACTCCTTTTTTGGCTGAAAGTTAGGCTAAAACTTCTCTTGCCATGCCTGTGCATATCTTTGAACCTCTTGTAAATGAGTCACCCAGTAAAGTTTCAGTTTTGCACTGCTTTTTTTAAAAATCCACATTTGAGCCTACAATTCCAGCATAGACGCTGGACCCCACCTCACAGCACCTGATCTCACCACTGCAACAACTGAAACTGTCTTGTGACACATGACACAGGATGCATGGTTTTGCTTATTTTAAGCTTGGGTTTCTTCTTGTCTGATTTTTACATTTATAACAAAGACTGTGAGCATCTGTTAGATCAGTGACTTAATTCTGGAAGGAAAAAAAAAAAAAAGAATTCCTCCCAGCTCTTCCTCCACACACTTGGATCAATTTAATTGAAGAGACTCTTGAGATCACAAGACAAATGAGTAAAAACAAGATAAAAATCGGTTTCCATTAGCAACAGTTTACCTGTGCGACTCACTGATTTCTAAATACAGTTCAACCAAAACAGAATATTGAGATAAACAGAACTGTAACACTGTTATCCTTATCAACATGCAAATCTTAATATTCATTTTGGCAGACTTAGAGTTCTTTGCTATTTTATACATCAATGATATAAAAGTAAACTGCTGTAATAATTGTATGCTAATACCACTTATCTGTTTCGGCCATTAGAGCTGGAGATAAGGTTTGTTTGCAGAAGGGCTCTATTCTTAAAAACTGAGGCTGAACACAGCTTTCTGAAACGTGAGTGGCCCCAAACCAGCCATGACACGGGAGGTAACAGTACCAGCTGCTTGTCTCGGGGCCCAGCACTAGGTGCACCGTGCAGTGATGTACAACGGGAGCCAGGAGATAGCAAGCATGAGGCCGTGTGATAATACAGTCTTGCAGCCGGCACACACAGATAACCCTGGGAGTTGGGGTGCGTCCACAGGACTCGGTTCACTCCTCCTTCTGTTCTGGTGAGCATGTGAAACTTTCTGTATTTAACAGTTTGAATATATATACTGTTTATGTACTTAAGACCCTTCTTGACAACTCAGGCGTGTGGCCACTTCATTTTGTTCAACAGCTCCTCTCTCCAGCTGCCTGGGTCCTTGTCCAGCCAGCAAAGAACAATTGGTGTGGGAACTCTGATTGGGCAACAAAGGGCAATGGGGCCTTGTCACTGAAAAGTGACCATGGAGAGGAGGGATATTTAGCCCAATTATTCAGGGTGCAGATCCTAATATCCTTCGTGGAATGGTCAGGAAGAAAGGGCAACTGGACAGGCTCTAAAGATGGGCATAATTCCAGCAGGTAGAAAGGAAGGTTGGTGTATCCCCAGCAGAATGCATGGTCCAATCACATGCCTGGAGGTAAACTAGACAGAGAGAAGCTTCATGAAGGTGTGGTTTGCCTGGACGCTAGGGTGAAAGGGGTGTTGCCCCAACACCTTACTTTAGCACTTGCCTTAGCAGGAAGGCCAGCATCATGGCTTGAGAGAAAACCATGCATGGGTGGCCATGGCTGCAGGATCCAGGGTTCAATGCTTATGGATTAACTGCAAGCTGTGCTTTCAGAAGTCAGTGAAGGCACAGGCACGCAGAAGTGAACTTGGGGTCTGGGATTAGATTTCTTCCTGTTCTCCATCCCCCTGGAGCTCATGCACTGCTTGGTTGCACCCCAGCTCCTGACTCTGGAAGCAGAGCCTCTGAACCCAGCTCAGTGCAGCTTCCTGCTCAGCTTGCCCTGTAGCACTGACCCCCACTGCCGAGCCTGGAGGAGCTCAGCCCTAAGCCAGGGAAAAGAAAGTGACGATGACACTCACAGCATCATCTGGCTCTGAGTCCAGCTGTCAGTGCCCTGAGAGAAAAGAACAGGGTGGCTAGCCATCAAGGATGCCCAGAAAGACCAACCCCCAACAGGACACATGCTCACTAAACCAAAACTCTGCATATAGGTAATGCTGAAGGATTAGGAAAAAAAAAAATCCAGGGTCACCCTGCTGTATCAAAGAGGGCACTGGGTGTATGGGCTCATGAGGACTCTAATGAATAAGGACTTGTATGCAGCCCATCCTGTCCCCTCTGAGCTCACATAGTCCTTTAAAGAGAAACGGAAAAGCAGAAGAGAAGAAAAATGATCTCAACTGTTCTCACCACAAAATGAAATAATGATTATGTGATGTGATAGAGGTGTTAGCTAATGCTACAGCGGTAATCATATTGCAATATACACATGTATCAAATTAACATGCTGCACACAGTATACTTACATTAGGTTATATGTCAATTATATCTCAATACAAAATAATAAAATTAAAATGTTGGAAGGGAGAAAAAAAGTAAAGGAGGAAGACAGAGCCAATCTATCTCAAAAGACAGTGGATTTAAGGTATCATTTATATTAAATCTCTTAAAAAAAAAAGCTGTCAATTACATGCTAAGACACCTCTGATGTAAGGTATGCCTAGATGTCAGAGGGAAAACAGTCTGTTTAAAATAGAGGCATGGGGTGGCTGGGTGATAGACACTGGCGAGGGTATATGCTATGGTGAGCGCTGTGAATTGTGCAAGACTGTTGAATCACAGACCTGTACCTCTGAAACAAATAATACATTATATGTTTAAAAAAAAGAAGAAGATAGTAGGAAGGGAAAAATGAAGAGGGGAAATCAGACGGGGAGATGAACCATGAGAGACCATGGACTCTGAGAAACAAACTGAGGGTTCTAGAGGGGAGGGGGTTGGGGGGATGGGTTAGCCTGGTG